AAAAAAAAAAAAAAAGAAAACCTTACTGTTTCTTAGTCTTTTCCTTACAGGGCCCTTCGTCTCCTTCTTCATCTTCGACTTCGTTCTTCTTCTTGCCCTCGGTTGAAGAGGACGACGCAGAACACGACGAGACGGCAGCCGCCGGAGCAGTCACCACCTCGGAATATTCCGGCGGCGGCGCCGCCGCCGCATCGTCGGACATCGTGGGGCCCCCGGCCGTGATGTTCCGGAGAAGGTCTTCGAATACAGAAGACGACGAGCCGCCCAACATGTCCAAGAAACCCAGCCGGGTCTCGGGGCCTTGGGGAATTGGCGGCAGCGGCTGGCCTCGGCGGAGGTGGATATTCCGGCAGGGTGGGGTCGGCCCATCTTTGTCCTCCTCCATGGGTTGTGATGATGAATGATCAAGAGCATAGATTCCTCATGAAATGGTGGCTGAAAAAAAAAAGTTGAGTTTGTGAGGTGCTTTTTAGAGAGAGAAAAAGAAAGGGGGATGAGAGAGAAAGAGATCGAGAGTGTGTGAATTTTGTGTTTGGATTTTGGGGTTTGTAGGTGTGAAGAGAGAGACTTTTCACTGGGTGATGCTATCTCTCTCTTTCTATCTCTCTCTTTATTATATATATATATTATATATATATAGGAGATTATACTGTCTCGTTACGGAATTTTCTGTCGGGATTTGTAATCGTTAGATCAACTATCCACGACGATTCCATGATAATCTCACAGTTATAAATTGCAACGAAATGGTTTTGTAACAGAACTGTAGTTTTTCTATATATATTTTAGTTTGGGTTAATTGCCAAAAAAAATCACGACCTTTTGTTAAATTGCAAATAAATCTCAACTTTTTCAATTTTGCAAATAAATCTCAACCTTTACTATCTATTGCAATTTTGTCTCAATTTTGAACTCCGGCCATCCGCCGCCACCCGCCACCGCCCAACCTCGCCGGAATTGAAAACTTTTTACGTCATCGTGTAGCTCTCTTTCCGGGCAACAACATATTCGAAGTTCGTGTAAAAATTACGACAATAAATGGTCCAATTTTCCGGTAAAAGCAAGTAGACCGCCGCCCGTCTCCGACAAAATTAGATCCCTTATTGTCGTAATTTTTACACGAACTTCGGATATGTTGTTGCCTGGAAGGAGAGCTACACGATGACGTGAAAAGTTTTCAATTCCGGCGAGGTTGGGTGGCGGCCGGTGGCGGCGGATGGCCGGAGTTCAAAATTGAGACAAAATTGCAATAGTTAGTAAAGGTTGAAATTTATTTGCAAAATTGAAAAAGTTAAGATTTATTTGCAATTTAACAAAAGGTCGTGATTTTTTTAGCAATTAACCCTTTTAGTTTTTATTTATTTATTTATTGAATTTTATTAGAGGTGTGGGGGGCTTTCAGACAACAGGTTGGCCCCGCGTACGAGTTTTTGTTTTTTTGTAGAAGTTAGAATATATTTATTTATTTATTTATTTTTTGCTCTTTTTCAAATTTTTGTTTACTATTCGATTAATTATATATTTCACTATTTTATGAAGATGGAGAATGTCAATTTTAAATAAGATTTTTTTTTTTTTTTTTTT